TCTCCCCCCCCCCGCAGCTTTCTGTCCCACCTGCCCTTGGCCAAGCTCATCACCCACTCACCTCTTTCCCTCTCCCTTGACCAGCTACCAGCCTCAGACAAGCATCCTAAGCTCTGGAAGCCTTTGTTTCCTTATTTGTTCTATGTCATCATAAGCCAGTGGTGTGTTGGACCCAGCTCCCCCCACCACCCAAGGAGACCCAGGTTCAGATCCCAGCTCTGCTTTCTTTGTGACATCAGTCACTGACCTCATTCTCTGAGCTTATTATGATAAAACCTCCCACTTCCATTGCTCTGCCATGTGTCAGGCACTATTCTAAGGGCCTTGCATTTATGGATTCAATCCTCATATCAGAAGTTGAAATGTGGCCCAGAGAGGTAAAGTAACTTGCCCAAGGTCACACAGCTAATAAATGGCAGAGCCGAGATTTGCAACCAGGTCGCCTGGCTCCTGGTTTTCTATCTTACCCTACTGTGCTGTGTCTCAGTTGCTGAGTGCTTAAAAAGTGGTAAAAATAATGATGATGATAATCATGATTCCTCTTCCCCAACCCTTCCAGAGCCTGCCTGAGTCCTTGGAACTAAGCTCACCCCGGTCCCCAGAGGCTGACTGGGGGCGGCCCCCTGGGGGCGACAGAGAACCTGCCAGCCCTCGCGCAGGTGAGCATCCTGGGCTGGGCCGGATGCGCAGGGCATCCCCTGTCCTCACCAAGTCCTGTTCTGTGCTTCCAGGTCTTGGATCTTCAAGGATCTCCCAGGCTCCTAGCCCTGACGGTCGCTGCCCTCCTTCCCCACAGCCAGGGAGTAAGGTAGGCAGTCTGTGGCCCCTCAGGCCCATCTTATAACCCTTCTGTCTGACCGCCACAGATCCCCACTCTTGGGGAGAAAGCTGGGTGAGGGGAGTTCTAAGGCCCCAGATCAGAGAGAATGTGATTTGCTAAGAGCATTGATTGGCTGCCTCTGTCTGGGGCATTGAACCTGCAACCGAGGTATGTGCCCTGGGACCCTTCAGTCTTCAGGCCGACGCTCTAAGCACTGAGCCAAACAGGCTAGGGTTGCTTAGGGGTCTTAAGCTACAGGTCCACCTTACCTGTGGCCAGCAGATGTTGGGTACAGCTTCGTGGAGTATTGAAAACAGGCAGGCTTTAAGCGGCTAAAAATACCTATTTGGGCTGCTATATTGGAAACAGGTGAATCTATAAAAGTTTGAATTTGGCCCTGGCAGGCTCTGGGGCCAGTAGTCTGGTCCACTGTGCAGAAATAAATGACATAGGGCCAATATACAGGGTACTTACTGTATGTAACAGGTGGGCATGCGACTCAGGATTGGCCAAATCGGAGTAAAACAGCGATTGGCCCTACAATAAGCAACAGATGGATCCAAGCTGTTTCTTAGGATTTTCTAGTTGGAAACTGCAGGTAGGAGTTCTCTTCCCTCTTTTTTTTTTCCCTCCTTAAGCAACACATATATTGACTTATAGATCTGCAGGCTAGAAGCCTGAAATCAAGGTGTCCCAAGGGCCATGCATCTTCTGCCGGCGCCAGGGAAGGATGTGTTCCAGGCTTCCTTCCTTGGCTTGTGGCCGCATGACCGCAATCTTCGCATGGCTTCCTTCCGTCTGCGTGTCTGTCCAAACTGCCCCCTTTCCTGAGATAACACGTTTTCAGCCAGATAGCTCTCTCGGCCCGTTTCCTGCCTGTAGCATCCCAGCCTTTCTTCATTGAGTCCCATCTCCGTCCCCTTCAGTTCAAGTTGTCAACGTCCATGCTGCGGTCATTTACTGGAGCCTAATCACTCAGCAAAAGGCTTGTCCAGCCACACCCTTGGCGTTCTTTCCAGAATATGCTTTCTGATTTTTTTGCAATACGAATAGGCCAGGAATTTCCCAAACCTTTAAGTACCCGTTTCCTTTTGCTGAACAATTTCTCTTTCCCTTTATCATTGACCTCTAGCGTTTTAAGTTCTTAAGGCTGAAGTCCATGATCAAGGTGTCAGCCGGGCCGTAATCCCTCCGAGGGCGCTAGGGAAGGATCAGCTCCGGGCCTGTCTCCCAGTGTCTGGTAGTTCCTTGGCTTGTGGCTGAGTAACTCCAATGGGCACATGACTTTCTCTCTGTGTGCATCTTCCCTCTGGTTTTGAGGGCAAGATAGAGTTCATCAAGTCCTAAGGCCAACCCAAGTTGACCCTCATGACAATTTAGTTAGTTACTCAGTAAACTCCATTCCTCCTGTTGTTTTCAAAGCTGATTCAGAGTTTTGTTGTTGTTTTTATTTTTTTAAGTTTTTTTAATTTTTTTATTATTTTTTGAATCACAAGCATCCCGGAGTCCTGTCTACTGCTGTGAAGAAGCTGGATAGGTCCAGGGAAGTGTGGGTGTTTGTCAGGCTGGGTTTTCAGGTTCAAGTAGGGCAGCTGATAGAGTTGAGGCCAGAGAGGTGTGTGGGGACCAGGCCTCACAGGACCTCAAAGGCCTTGGTCCCGAGGGTGCTTGGGGACCATGGGGGCTTGAGCAGTGGAGGGACAGTATCAGCTCTGGGTGTAGAAAGAGTCCTCTGAGATATGGTGGTGAACTTACTGGAAAGGGTAAGGCTGGAGGCTAAGAGGGCCAAGGTGGAGTCTTGAGGCGTTTCTCATCTCCCCAGGCCCCCCTGGCCCGGCCCCGGATGAGTGCCCAGGAGCAGTTGGAAAGAATACGTAGAAACCAGGAGTGTGGACGGCCTCTCCCTCGCCCAGCTTCTCCCCGGCTGCTCAGTCTGGGGAGGACACTGTCCCCAGCCAGGTGCCAGCCTGATGTGGAACAACGGGTGAGGGGAGTGGAAGTGGCGCAGTAGGGTGGTAGTGGGTCCTCCGCTCCTAGTTCGAGCCCCATTTTCCCTCTCTGTAAAACCCACAACTGGGCTTCCGAATTGAACCCAGCTTGTACCTGTGCTGAGTCAGCATCCCAGCCCCCTTCTCAGTGGGGGACTGGGGTGGGGCAGGTACAACATCCCCACCTTACCAGGGGTCACAGGCCTGGGTAGGAAGCCTGGTTTTTCTTTTTGGTTACTATATGTTGTCAAAGGATTAAAAAAAAAAAATCAATTCAATTTTATTCATGCTATTGCAGTGAGGAGAGCCCACCAGATCCAAGATCAGAGTCTCTCCAGGACGGTTTCATCTTACTTTTCTAGGAAGGAATTAGCCAAGTCATAGGTGTGGTGATTTTAATGGTAGGATTATTCTGTAATCAGGGGGCATTTCAGTCAGCTGAACACCAAATGTTTATCTCTGTGTCTAGCTAGTTTATGGGGACCAACAGTTCAGTTGTGTATGAGGTCAAGAGTGAATCTGGGAGGCCTGTTCCTGGCTTTGTCATGGGAAGACAAGGTGGGGGGTCCTCCATGAGTCTTATCTAAGCCATATGGAAAAGAAGGTTCTTTACATGGAAAGTTAAACATTGTCAGTGCCTCTGGGGGCAATTTCATCTCCTCTCTGAGCCTCCTTCATTTCACCCTCATAATGAGAACATGGGGGCTTCCAGGTGAGGGACACTAATGTCCCATTTTCTTTGCAGCCTGTCCTAGGACACACAGGAGCCCAGAAATGGCTCAGAAGCTCTGGGTCCTGGAGCAGGTAAGGGACTGGAGCAGGGAAATCAGTTTCCCAAAGGGAAGGGGAGTAGTGTTGTTATTTACGTCTTCTGAGTACTGAAGGGCAGGCTGCAGAACCTTTTAGAGATGCATGAGTTCCTGGGGCATCAGAAAGCCCTAGATCCCCAGTGAGAACAGCAGTCCCCAAACTGCAAACCCGGTAAACATCAAACACCTCTGCCCAACCATCTGGAAATGGGGTGGCATTTACCCATGACTGGATGACAAATTCCATAGTGCACATGGGCTTTGTTACATGCGGGGCCTCACTAGGTTTAAAGTCCTTTAGAGACACATTCTAGGGACTACAACTCCCCCATACTGGCTAATTGCACCTCTCCCCCAAATCTGTTTTCTAGTCCAAGGAACACCACCCCTTACATACCTACATCAGAAGGTCACCGGGAGCGAGTCCTCAGCCTCTCTCAAGCTCTGGCCAATGAGGCGTCGCAGTGGCACAGAATGATGACAGGTGAGGAGGGGCTGGGGACCTAGGGCTCCTGGGGCTGAGAGTAGAAGAAAGGCCTGGGGGTCCGGAATCTCGGATCCCTAATTTTGCCATTCTCTGTCCCCACTCGTGCTCTGCAGGTGGAAACTTGGACTCCGGAGGAGAAGCTCTTCCCTCGGTGCCGCGGCCCCCGTCAAACCCCAAGCCCCAGGTGACCTCGCCCCCAAGATCTCCTCCTGCGGCCAATTCCCGCCCCACCGGGCTCTCCCGCCGAGGCGGCGGACGCGGCACGGGCCCCGCCCCCTGGGAGCCCACGTGGGAGCCCGGGGCGGCCCCTCCGTCCTTGACCCCAGACGAGGGGGCGTGGCCTCTGCGAGTCACTCTGCTGCAGTCCAGCTTCTGACCGCGGCAGCCAATTGGAGCGCGAGGGCGTGGCCTGGGGAGCCGGCCGAGACCCCGAGCCACCCCCGGCGCCCCGAGGCGTGATCTGGTCCTCGCCCGCGGCCTGCACGGGGAGGGGTTTCTATGGCCAAAATTTGGTTTTCCCAGCACTTGTCCAAATTCGGATTAAAATTTTGAACTTTTAGTGAATAGCTTTCTCTCTGTCTATTTGGGATTGTGACCCTGGGGACTCTCGAGGGGCAGAGCTGGAGTCGGGGATCCTGGGTCCCCTGGGAGGAAGGGGCAGGGACCTCGGAACTTGTGGGTCTGAGGAACGAGGGAAGGGGGCGCTGAATTAAAGGGTTTGAGGGAGGAGGAGGGGCTGGGGCCGAACTTCCAGGCACCTGGACTTCTAGGCAACGCCCCCCCAGGGCCGGGCCTCCAGGGTTCAGCCCACGGCCTCACTGGACTTTAGAGTGGAAAGAGGCCCAGAGTGTTGTCCAGGGAGACAGACTGACGCGGGACGGCCACGGCATCGCGCTTGTGACCGCGAGGGGCGGGCGCGGCCTCGGGGCTGAGATCGTGCGAGCCTTCGGTGAGGGGGTCTTGGCTGGTAGAATACTGGCTTCTGGGAGCGGAGCGCCCCGGGGGGTCTAACGAGTGTGGGAGGGAACCCTGATTATTCTAAAATTCAATTTCAAATGCTAACGAAGGGGTGGGAGTGGTATCCGGGAGCCTGGGGTTTTGGCAGGTCTCAAACCCTTACTCCCTTTCTCTGGGTCTCAGTTATTATAGCTACGAAACCGGTGGCTTGGGGAATATGTCTCTTGCAGATTTAGGGTTTACTCTGGAAGCCAGAGGTGGGGGTCTCAGGAACCCCAGCAGGTACTTGGAGTAGCTGAGGAGACTGTGTCAAGGCCTCTGCCCTTTGCCCTAGAAGGTCATCGTGAGACGGGTCACGAGGGGAGCCGAGTTGGGTGATAGGCCCCACTCCAGGTGGCCGCAAGAGGGCAGCAGAGGCCTTCACCAAGGTCTGTGCTGGGGTAACCTGTTCTCTTCCTATTCCCTGGAAAGCGGGGCCCAAGTGGTTATCGGTGACAAAGATGGTGAGGGAGGGTCTCTCAGTCCTCAGCACCCCCGTCGCAGACCCAGCAGTCCAGGCCCCAGCCCTTCTCTCCCTGCAGAGTTGGGGGGCCGGGCCCTGGAGCAGGAGCTCCCTGGAACTCTTTCTCCTCTGTGATGTGGCTCAGGAAGAAGATGTGAGGGTGAGTGGATTTTCTGTCCCCACTTCCTATATCCAGTTTCTCTCTAGCTTTGTTCTATTCTAGGCTTTTGCACATGCTGTTCCCTCTACCTTTCCCTCTTGTCTTGGCTAAATTGTTCAGGCCCTGAGGGTTTCAACTCAGTGTCCTTTCCTCCCTGATTCTGCTGGCGGGTCCAGTGTCTCCTGGGTGGGTTCTCTTTTATCTCCCACTTCAAGATTCTTATCACACCTATCAAGTGAATTTGAACAAATGAGTCCCTCACAGTGAGTGGGTCTTTTTCCATAAGAGTTTCTCCCCTCCTGCCTCAGGGTTTCTGTCTCTTCCCTATAGTCAGTATCTCTCTGATATCTGCCCCCCTGGGTCTCTGTCCCCCGGACCCTGAATCTCTGGAGTAAGTGACCTCTGGGCTCTGGCACCTCCAGCTTCCTGTCTCCTTTTCTCCTGCCATGCCTGGTGATTTGGGGGAGTCCCCTAATTCCTCTACCTCCTATCCCCTCAGCTGTGGCTTTGGCTTCCCCTTCCTGCCTTGCTTTTGGGCACCCCAGTTGCCAACACTCCCCACTCACAAGACATCTTCTCAGACCCTCATTTCTGAGAATGGCCGCCTATTCGGCCGCCTGGATTGTGTGGTCAACAACGCTGGCTACCTTGAGTTGTGAGGCCCAGGGGCCATTCTCGACCAGTGTCAACCCACCTCCTAGCTTCCCAACCCTTCCTCCTGAACTTGTTTCCCCTTTTCTCTGCCTCTGATCCCCAATCTTCCTCTCTGTCCACTTGGACAGGGCAGGACAGGACAGCTGTGGGATCTCCTGCACCTGGGCTTCCACCTGGCTCCGTTCCATCCCCACTGCGTGACCTCCCTTCTCCAAACCTTGGTTTCTATGTTCCTAAAATGGTAATAATGGTGATGATGGTCCTCACTGCAGGGTTGTTGTGAGTATTGAACAAGTAGCCTATTCAGCCTCATAATTACCAGAACCATCTCAGTCTAGGTGAGGCTGGTGGCTTTCCTATTGCTGATGACTGTGAAGATGCACTCAGAGAGGTGGACTGTTTGCACCAAGGTCACACAGCAAGGCCGTGGGAGAGAGGCCTCCCTTATTGGCTGGGTAACTTCCAGCAAGCGGCTCATCCTCTCCGAGCTGCATTTTCCTTCTTATGTTGTACGGATTAAACAGATCCTAGTTCGTTCTTTGTCTTTGCATCTTTGCATGTTCAACAGATATTTGCTGAGCATCCACTGTGTCCCAAGTTCTGTCCTAGGGACTAGAGATTTAGCAGTGAACAAAATAGACAAAACAGCCCTGGCCAGTGTGGCTCAGTTGAGTGTTGTCCTGTGTACCAAAAGGTTGCCAGTTCGATTCCCAGTCAGGGCATGTGCCCGGGTTGCAGGCTCCATCCCAAGTAGGGGGCATGCAGGAGGCAGCTGATTGACATTTCTCTCCCTCTCCCTTCCTCTCTTTCTAAGATATCAATAAAAATATTTTTTTAAAAATAGACAAAACATTCCAGTCCTCATGGATTCACATTCTAGAGTAAGAAAATAGAGGTAAGGAAATAGACAAGAAAAGACAGATACAGGTAATCCGCACTAGTCACTCTGACGAAAAAGTCTTTGTAACCCCGGAATCAGTAGTAATTGTTGCACTTTTCCTGTTTTCCTGGATATGCCCAGATCTAAATCAGAATCTCTAGACCTTTGGCCCGCATGGTGGATCCTGGCACAGCAAACTTTGGGATTCCCTAGGCTAGCAAAAACAGTGGAGGAATGAGGGGTCTTCATACAGTCAAGGAAATGAGATCCTGCGGGCAGAAAGGAGCCACAGGAGGTGTCTGAGCACAGGAGCGTCCGTTGTAGACTCCCAGAGCTAGATTGGTTCTTAGAGACTTATCCATTCATTCATCTATTTATTTATCAATAAATAGACTGGGTAGGGGTCAGGCAGTATCCTAGGTGCCGGGGATTCACCACATGGTCTTTGCCCTTGGTCATAGTCACAGGGCAGCCAGGTGCTATTAAGTAAATGCAGAGATGACTTTATGGGGTGTGTTTTGTGCTGGGAAGGAGACGCTGTGCTTCTGAGAGATGTATGACAAGGAGATTGGCTTGTTCTGGGGGTCACGGTGGGCTTCCTGCAAAAGATGAGCAGCATTAACTAGAAGGGTGGTGAAGGGGGCTCTCCAGATCCAGTGTCCAAAGGGAGGATGGGGGGAGAGTCAGGCCAATAAGAGCTCAGCGGGTCCTTGATGTGGCAACGCGAAGGTGCGAGAGTGCCTGGCAGAGGGAACAGCCTGGGCAAAGGCCCACATTGTTGGGGCTGAGTGGAGTGAGGAAGGGGGTGGTGCAGGAAGGGGTTGGGGAGGCAAATCACATGGGGCCTTGAGGGCCATGCCGGGTGTCTGGTCTTTATCTCCAAAGCAATAGGGAACCATGGAAGGTATTTGAGCCAGAAAGTAATGGATCAGATGAGGAAATGAGGGAGAGGGAGGCTCTGGAAGATTCCCAGGTCTCCCAGTCTGTGGCTGGAGTGGGTGGGAGTGGGCCCCATGTTCGAGACTGGGAACCAGGAAGAGAGGCAGGTTTCAGGAGGTGACAATGGGATGATTTCTGCACTTGAGGCGTTGAGATGGAGAGGCCCCCTGGGTAGAGGGCGCCTTGGGGGTAGAGGGGGGGGCTCTGAGGGAGATTCAGGGGATGCTGGTGGGAAACCAACAAAGTAGGGGCTCCCCAGGCAGAGCTGGGAGAGTGAGAAGGACCAGGATCCCCAGCACTGAAGTGAAATGGAGTCAGGCCAGAGCAAGGCTCCCCCAGTTAGGTGTCTGAAGGGAGAGAGGGGGGAGTCAGGCCAATGAGAGTCCAGCAGGTCCTTGATGTAGCTACTAGGTGACCTTGGGAGGGGGGGGCAGGGAGGACATGGGCTGGGAAGGGGAGTGCGGGACAAATAGTTATTCGGTGGCAGCTGTGTTCCCAGTGCTGGGAGGAGGGTGACAAATGAACCATGTCTCAGCTGCCTCAGCCCTCACATTTGCAGGGTGGGAGTGGGGAGGGAGTTAGGTAGCTGGATTAAGGAAAGAAATATGGCTGGGACAGGGACAGGGGTGGGGGCTGGGCGACCCCAGGCCTGAGAGAAAGAGGGTTTCAAGGCTGATGAGAGTGAGGGGGAGAAGATGAATGTGGGGGGTCCCTGAGCACCTACTATGTTCCAGACACCTTAGTACTGGGGATGCAACAAACTAAGAATCTCAGGTGTCCCCTTTGTGGATTTTTGCATTCTGGTGGGAGAGACAGAGGGTAAGCAAATAAGTAAAATATACAGGGTGCCCCCCCCCCAAATGTATATACACTTCAAATAGTTAATTTCAATGGGTTAAATTGGAAAAGAAAGAAACATCAATTGAGCTATTAGCTGTTAAGTGTGCACCACAGAGCAAAGTAATCTGGAAGCCTGAGGCGTAGCCAACAGGATGTTGTAAGTAAATAGGATGGTCAGGTCAGGGAATATCCCACCGAGAAGGTGACACTTCAACAGGATTTGAAGTTACTGAGAGAGTAGGTTTACCCAGGACTGTCCCACTTCAGCACTGAAACTCTGGACTGAATGTCCCTTGTCCCCAGAAACCCTTTAGTCCTGGCCAAACAAAGATGGTAGGTAACCCTAGCAGTGAGTCACATGGCTATCTTAGGAAAAGCATTCCAGGTAGAAGGAACAGTAAGTGCAAAGGCCCTGAGGCTGGAACACAGGGCATATATGAAGATACAGCACTGAGAACAGGGTGGAGGCTGTTTCTGATAGAGCAAGGAAGGTTTGAAAGAGCTGGTGGGTGAACCAGAGAGGGAGCTGATTTAGAGCCCACTCTGAGAACCCTGGGGGAGCTGGCTCATCCATGCTAATCTTAGTAGCAGGCGCAGGTCTTGCTGGGCCAGCTCAGCTGCCCAAAGCAAAC